TCTTTCCCACTCGCCATACCCACACAATTCTCCACAACAACTGATTTTTTTCTGCTACACCCGGCTAAGCTGCTTCGCTTCTTCTTCTTCTTGTTTACTACTGGTGGTTAGCTTTGGTCGCAGTACCGCCACCTTCTGCTCTGGAGTGTAAATGCTTCGCCTATGAGAAAAAGGAAAAGCGCATGAACCAAACGCAACACAATCGAATCGAACCAAATAGTTTGGACGGTTTTCATAAACCGTTCCATCCCTAATACATGCCCTTTAAGGTGCTTAAGACTCCCTCCTGGCATGAACAGGAGGACTGCTGTTTGGAGAAGATCCATCTGGCCAGTGAAAGATATATTAATCTAACAGGGAATGACCTTAATGAACTGAAGTTGTTTTTCTCCAAATGTTTGTGTTTGAGAAAGTTTTTTGTATGCAGGGGTGAGTTGGTTTCCCCTGGGAGTGTGTGTATTGGGAGTTGTTGTATAAATGTATGTACTGAGCTTGCCCCAGTCAGAGACGTTTCTTTCCATCAGATATAAAAAATAAAACAGTATGTTCAAGCAAGAACTACTTGTGCCTCAGCTTCAAAACTCCACATCTGATTTCCTGATCCTGACCTGTTCTGCCTCTCAACCACTGTGCCTGCCTTTTCCCATGTGAACACTTTGCCTAAACTGTCTTTGGACACCTGGACCTCTGAGGCCTTCCTGTTCTGATCTGTTTGCCTGACCTGGCTTTGGACACCTAGACCCCCGAGCCTGCCTGTTCCTGTTCTGATCTGTTTCCCTGGGCATGGACTGAACTGTAAAACCAGATACTGACCACAGGTTCATAATCATCCTCCGTCAGATTACTGATTCATTTTTGGCTGCATACCCCCCTCCCCCATGTCTCTTTCCAGCTCACTTTCAAAAAAATGAAGGCCCCTAGAGTCTAACAGAAAAAAATACACTTGATTAATTCAACAATCATTTAATTATTTTTTTTAGGTAACTTCTGACACCACTGTAGGTGATGATGTTCTCTCCTATTTATATTTCTTTAATAAAAAATAAACAAAAAACAAGAATAATTCACTTTGTTAAACTTTCTTCTACACAATAAAAATGCCCTGATGGAAGCTTCTGATGTAAAGTTTTAATATTTTATGCAAATATAGATTAGATAAAGAACATAAATAATAAGAAACTTTTAAAATACAATAGGCCTTTGCAGTACTTCGCTTCTTGGACCTAATGAACGGAATAATCTACAGCATATTATGATGTTAACCTTATAAAATAGATAAGTTCATATAATTACATAGAATAAAACTAATCCTGACCATGTGTGAATGTCTTACTGTCAGGTTTCCTCTTCCATCTTCGTCTCACCAGTAGAACCAGCAGCAGAAGGAAAACCACAACCCAGACACAGGAAATAGATGGCAGCACATATTTAGACAGAGGAGGAGGTCCAGTGGTTTCAGGGGGAGGGGGGGCTGGTTTCTCTGAAACACAAAGATTTATTAAATATGTGTCAGATAGATAATAGGACTCAGAGAACTGAAGGATTTGATCCTGACCTTCAACAGAGATCCAGCTGGATGGAGACTCTCCATGACCCCTGATGTTACAACAGTAGAGGCCTTCATCAGAGCTGGTCACATGGTGGAGGGTCATGTGACCTTTGGGCTCAGT